TATCTGGCTCTGCTTTAGACTCCCTCTTTGGTTTGGCTGCTCTGCCTGGCTCAACGTCCGCCCCAGTTTCTGTGGCTTTCTCAGTCTTCGGGTCTGGCTCAAGCTCAAGACCTGAAGTAAAACTCCATCGCACTAGCTCTTTTCCCGCCTGTCTTTGCGTGCACGTGGGTCCTGCCCTATCACCGTTGCTTCCAAGTTATTTAAACTCTATCACCCTAGCACCTTTTCCGTCAATTTTTGTTTACATGTGAACTTATATCGCTCTTCGTCTGGGAGGCGTTCATGGGATAGATGCCTTAAATTCATGCGAATACATAAAAAGATTGACAGAAGAGGTATCAAATTAATGCGATAACGTAGAAAAAGGATGGTGCAGGTGTCAGATTCATGCGATAACGTAAAAAAGGAAGGTAGAGCTATCAAATTCATGCGAAAACGTAAAAAAAAGGACGGGAGGGACATCAAATTGAAAATAAGGACAAGAAGGTATGAAAATCATGTCAAAACGTGAAAAAGAGGTATCAAATTCATTGGAAAAGGTAAAAAAAAGGAAGAGAGAGGTATCAAATTCATGCGAAAACATAAAAAATTACAGAAGAGGTATCAAATTCATTAGAAAACGTAAAAAAGACGAAAGGTATCAAAATCATGCGAAAATGTGAAAAGACAGGAGAAGGTATCAAAATCATTAGAAAATGTAAAATGAGGACGAGAAGTATCAAATTCATGCTAAAACGTAAAAAAACGGAAGGGAAAGGTATCAAATTCATGCTAAAATGTAAAAAGCGTTAGGGAAAGGTATCAAATTCACGAAAAAACGTTAAAAAAGCGACGGAAAAGGCATGGACGTGATAAGCCCTTTGGACTCTCCGTATGTCTCAGCCTCCGAACCTATCTCGTGTCTGCATGTCTGCCTGAGCCTCAACTTTCGTCCTCTTGCTCATTCTGCTTCTGAAATATTTTTCCTCTGAGGCGCTTTGTCCGCCTTCTCTCTTGCCTCCTTCGTCCTCCGTTTCCGTACGACTTTAATTCTGCATTTCACTTTGATGGTCTCGCTCTCTCTCTCTCTCACTCTTTCTCCTTCTCTTCTCTCCTCTCTCTCTCTCTCTCTCTCTTCTCTCTCTCTCTCTCTCTCTCTCTCTCTCTGTATCTCTTATCTCTCTCTCTCTCAATCTCTCAATCTCTCACTCTCTCTTTCGCTTTCACTTTCTCTCTCTTTTTCTCTCTTTGTCTCTCCTTCTCTTTCTCACTCCTTCTCCTTCTCCTTCCCCTTCTCCCTCTCATTTTCCTCTCCTCCTTCTCCTCCTTCTCCCTCCTTCTCCTTATCCTTCCTCCTCCTTCTCTTTTCCTCTTCCTTTTTCCTTATCCCTCTCTCCTCACACTCCTCCTTTCTCCTTCTACCTCTCCTCTCCTCCTCTGCCTTTCCTCCCCTCTTCTCGCTCTCTCCCTCTACTTCTACTTCTCCCTCCCTCCCTCCCTCTCTCCTCTCTCTCTCTCTCTCTCTCTCTCTCTCTCTCTCTCTCTCTCTCTCTCTCTCTCTCTCTCTCTCTCTCTTCTCTCACTCACTCACTCACTCACTCACTCACTCTCTCACTCTCTCTCTCTCACTCTCACTCTCACTCTCACTCTCACTCTCACTCTCACTCTCCTCTCCTCCTCCTTCTCGCTCTTTCTCTCTCACTCTTCCTTTTCCCTCTACTACACCCTTTCCTCTCCTCCTCCCTCTTCCTCTCTTTCTCCTTCTTTCCTTTTCTTCTCCTCCCTCTCTCTCTTCCTCTCCTTCTCCTTCTCCCTCTCCTTCACCCTTTCCTTCTCCTCCTCCTCCCTCTCGCTCTCTCTCTCTCCCTCTCCCTTTTCCCTCCCTCTCTCCCTGCCTGAGTTTTTCGTCCGCCTCTTACTTTGAGGAATCTGACTTTGTTGAGAACCTCCTTGTTTCTCTTTTTTCTTTCTTTTCTTCCTCTTCTCTTTTTTCTTTTTCTTTTTTTCTGTTTATAGTTTGCGTTTGACTCTTTGGGCATGTCTTTTGTTTTTTTCCATTTTCTTTTTCATTAATCTTTACCCTTTGCTTTCTCTTCCTGCTTTGTCATTCTCTCTCTCTTTTTCTTTATTTTTCTCTTTCTCTTGATCTCTGTCTTGTATTTAATTGATTCCTTCTCATTCTGTCATCGTATTTTTAATCATATTGTAGTATTATCACTATAATCTCCTATATTTGTATTTTTCTAAAACCGCAACCTTCCACCATCATATTCTCCAATCACTGTATTCTCCTATCACCATACCCTATCACTGTATTATCCTCTCACCATATCCTATCACTGTATTATCTTCTAGCCATGCCCTATCATTGTATTCTCCTATCACCATACCCTACCACTGTATTATCCTCTCACCATATCCTATCACTGTATTATCTTCTAGCCATGTGCTATCATTATATTCTCCTATCACCATACCCTACCCTGTATTATCTCTCACCATATCCTATCACCTGTATTATCTTCTAGCCATGTCCTATCATTGTATTCTCCTAATCACCATACACCTACCACTGTATTATCCTCTCACCATAATCCTATCACTCATTATCTCTATCAATTTCCTCTCACCACCCTCCCATACTATCCTGTCAACACATCCTATCACCGTCCCTATCCTCACCACATCCGCCTATCACCAATCCTCCCCATCACTATATGCCTATCACCATATCCTCCCCTCACTATATCCTATCACCACATCCGCCTATCACCATATCCTCCCCTCACTATATCCTATCCCCGCACTCTTCCCCTATCACCACATCCGCCTATCACCATATCCTCCCCTCACTATATCCTATCACCACATCCGCCTACATCCTATCACCACCATCCCCTATCACCATCTCCTCCCCTCACCACATCCTATCCCCGCACTCTTCCCCCATCACCACATCCCCCAGAGTCCTATCATCTGTCCCTTCCACTTGGGGCCCCACGTACGGGCGCGCAGACGGCACGGCAGACCGCCCGTGAACGTCGCTATTTCCTGCCTGCCACGCGCCCGCCACAGGGAGGGGGAGATGTCACAGGGAGAGGTGAGGGAGAAAGAGGAGGGAAGGAGGGAGGGAGAGGGGGAGAGGGTGAGGTTGAGGAGAAGGAGGGAGGGGAAATGCACAGGTGAGGGAGAGGGAAGAGGGTGAGAGAGAAAAGGGAGGGAAGGAGGGGAGGGAGGGTATGGAGGAGAGGAGAAAGAGAGGGAAGAAAGAGGGAGAGGAGGGGGAGAAGAAAGAGGGAGGAGGAGGAGGAGAGGGAAAAGAGGAGAGGGAGAGGGGGGAGAAAGAGGGAGGAAGGAGGAGGGGAGGTATGGAGGGGAGGAAAAGGGGAAGAGGGAGAGGGAGGGAGGGAGAAAGAGGGAGGGAGGGGGAGGAGGGGAGGAGAGAGAGGGAGGACGGAGGGAGAGGGAAGGAGGGGAGGAAGGTCAAAGGAGGGAAAGGAGAGGAAGAGAGGGAGGGAAAGGGAAGGGGAGGGGGGAAGGAGATGAGAGAGGGAGAGGAAGGGAGTGAGGGGAAGGGGAGGGATATGAGAAGGGAGAGAAGAGAGAGGGAAGAGGTTTGAGGGAGAAGAGCGATAAGAGAAGGAGGGAGGGGGAGACTTAGAAAGGAGAGGGAGAGCAAGCGAGAGCGAGATAGAGAGAGAGAAACAGAGAGACAGAGAAAGAGAGGAAAGAGAGAAAGAGAAAAGAGAGACAGAGAGAGGGGGAAGGACTTAGAAAGGGAAAGAGAGAAATAGAGAGAGTAACAAGATAACGCAGGAAAATAAAACGGAAGAAAAAACGAAAAGAATTAGAAGGCAGAAGAGTGGGCGAAAGTGAAGAGAGAAAAAATCAAGGAATGAAAATAAAGAGAGAAATAGCAAGAGAGCGGAAACTAACACCATGAAACAAAGACAAGGAAAAGAAAGAAAAAAGTAAGAGAAAAATAAAAGAAGATATTCGGATATAGAACGAAAACACTCAAAGCAAACAAAATAATAACAATGAAACAAAATACGATAATAAAGGTAAAATGATTAATAACAATAACATAATAATGATAATAATATTAATAACAATAACAATAACAACAATAACATTAACAACATTAACAAAAATAATAATAATAATAACAATGATAACAATAATAATAAACAAGAAAATAAATAAAGCAAGAAAATTAATAAAACAATAAGTAACTAAATAACGGCAAACAAAGGACAGAACAATACATTAAGTAGGTAAAGACAAAGAGGAAATGGTTCAAAATTCGGCACTGTGCCAGACTGGCCTCACGGACGGTGGCACTGTGGATGGGTAATGAGACAGCGAGTGGATCAGGTAGCCAGGTGGTGATGTTGTAGGTGGATGAGGCGGAGGTGGATGGGTGACGAGAGGGTAGGTGGTTGGGGTAGCAAGGTGGTCTCCCTCTCTCTCTCTCTCTCTCTCTCTCTCTCTCTCTCTCTCTCTCTCTCTCTCTCTCTCTCTCTCTCTCTCTCTCTCTCTCTCTCTCTCTCTCTCTCTCTCTCTCTCTCTCTCTCTCTCTCTCTCTCTCTCTCTCTCTCTCTCTCTCTCTCTCTCTCCCTTCCTGTCCTTCCCTCATCCTTCCTCTCTCTCCCCTTCTTTCCCTCCCTCTCTCTTTCTCTATCTCCCTCTTTTCCCTCTCCACTCCCTTTCCCTCCCTCCTTCTCCCTTCCTATTTCCCTCTCCTCTCCCTTTCTCTTCCTCTCACCTTCTCTCTATCTCCCTCCCTCCTCCCCCCTCTCTCTCTCTTTCTCTCTTCCTCTCCTCTCCCTTTCCCTCCCTCCCTCTCTCCTCTTCTCTCCTTTCCCTCTCTCCATCTCTCCCGTTCCCTCCCTCCCTCTTCTCCCCCTCTTTCCTGCTCCTTCTTTTCTCCCTCTCTCCATCTCCTCTCCCGTTTCCGCCCTCCCTCTCTCTCTCTCACTTCCTCTCCCTTTCCCTCTCCTCCCCACTCTTCCCTCTCCCTTCTCTCTCTCTCTCTCTCTTCCCTCCCTTTCCTCAGATCAACAAAAATCAGAACCAACCTGAAGAAAGATGGCAGCGATCACCCACCAACGTACCTTGAACTGGAAAAACAGAGGGAAAAAAAGTTAATAAGTGAAATACATTTATGCATTTACACATGAGCTATGTTTGAATATATATGTATGAATGTGTGTGAAATATATGTGTATGTATGATGTGTGTAAGTATGTGTGTGAGTGTGTACTGTGTTGTGTGAATACCATGTACGTGTGTTTGTGTGTGTGTGTGTGTGTTGTGTGTGTGTGTGTGTGTGTGTGTGTGTGTGTGTGTGTGTGTGTGTGTGTGTGTGTGTGTGTGTGTGTGTGTGTGTGTGTGTGTGTGTGTGTGTGTAACTTACTTTACCGAGGTTTTACGTAGGCCTAGAGATAAAATTTGATATGAAGATTAATTAATCAAGGGAGGATGACATCAGGGAGAGGTGTGGTACAGAGATAGCAGAGCAAATCCTGCCTCTTTATTAAGTGCGTGTGCGTGTGTAAGTGTGTGTGTGTGTAAGAGCCCGGATGTTGGGCCTTACAAAGTTTGGTAGATGGCGAGCTTAGGGTTTAAGGTAGACAACCAAAGTGTTTTGACTCCGTTTATTCAAGTTGTGTTGGAATCCGGCTGCTTCTCGGAGCGAGGTGTTGCTGCCTGATCTCCTACACAGTGGTCTAAAGATCGCTCTAAGTCACGTTGTTAGCATGTGACAACCGGTGACGAACAAGCAAGGGTTACATCTATAAAAGGTATTAATAGGCCCTTCTATAGAGTGTGTAGTTGAATTACAGGTGGCAGCTAGTGAGACTGATTGGCTTCAGTCTTTATTGAAGAGAACACACGATACGAGAGACTACGATATGCCGGCGCTCCGTGCTGAGAGTAAGAGAGTGGCAGCCCCACGCCCTGCTCGGGCGGGTGACCTGGAGTGACCAGCCTGGTCAAGGACTGGCTTGTCGAGGTGTGAGTGAAGGAGTGAGAGTTAGGCCGACCCAGGTCAGGCTTTATATATCCTTTGACCGCGGCACGGCTTCTATACTTAGCGTGGTTTGGGGGTGAAACGAGGGGCAGACAGGTAGCGTGGGCACGCTCGTGGAGACCGTGCGGACCACTAGATATGAATGCAGTATACTATATTGCTCGGCAGACTATAAAAGATACTAATAGGCCTTTCTATATAGTGTGTAGTTGAATTACAGGTGGCGGCTAGTGAAACACTTAGTGGCTGTCCTCTTTATTTCTAAGAGTTACACGCACTTTTAAATGCATACACGAGAATCGCAATATGAATAATGCACAGTAGCTGTGGTTGCTGACGGGAGCCGAGGCAGCGCGCCCAGCCTGGGTACGGCCACATGGCTTGGTGATCGCCCGGTCAGCCGCCGGGTGAGCGGTCACTCCTGGTCACAGGAAAGGTCGCTGAAGGTGTGAGAGTGGGTCAACATTGGCCACCCCTATATTCGGAGCAGAGGGGGGCGCAGAGCGCAAGCATGGCTTGGGCGTGAAGCGAGGGCAGACAGCGAGCGGGGGCACGCACGTGGGAACCGCATGGTATACTATGCAGTATGCTATATCCTATATCGCTCGGCCACCACCTACGCCTCGTCCTCATGGCGTCACTTGAATTATTTCAAGGGTGACCTGTCATCGTACCCCATCTGCTGGTCATCTCGTCGCGTTCTTGTTCTCGGTCATCCTCGTGCCCTCTCCTCGTTGTCGGCCTCTTCATCTTGGTCCTTGGTGCATCCATCCGTCATCGACGTCCACACGTCCTCGAAGGTTTCGCCGAGGTCCTCCTTGACTTCGGGTCGTCCAGTCGTCCTCGTCCTTATCCAGGTGGTACTCGGCATCGTCGTCGTCCACACGTCCTCGCAGATTCGTCCAGGTCCTTCTCGGCTGCGGCTCATACCGACGTCCTCGTAGCCTGCGTCTGGGCAGGGGCGTCGTTTCGTCTGAGGGCGTCTTACTCCTGCCTGGGGAGCTCCTGGAGTTTAACCGATCCACGGATGTCCAGGCAGGTGGCTTTTCATAGCATCCTGGGGCCTGCTCTGATGAGTTCCTGGTTCTTCACTGGATCTACGGGAGTCCTGACAGGCGGCGCCCGTCCACTTGAGCTGGGCGGCTTAATACCTGCAATTTCGCGAGTCCTCGTCCTTTGGCCTGCGGCGATCTTCTGGCCATGTTCGTCTCACGGCATTGCAAGGCGATCGCGCTGCAGTTAGATCTCCTTTGAGGCCGTGTCGGATATACACGTCCATTATATATATCATAAACCAGATCATACACGTAAGGGCCAAGATAGTAAGAGAAAAAGAAAGACGACAGAGAGGGAGGGATGTTATTCGAGTACTGCTAGCCGTTATTTTTATGCTAATTTGCAGTTTTTAATTTTATTTCATTCATTTTCGTTTTTTTCACTTTTGTATTTTTCAAGAAGAAAATAAATGAGGGAGAAGAGAGTAGCAGTTTTCATGAACTTTGCTTGAGCTACTAACCATCTCAGATACATATAATAGATAAGGGAAATGACATCGGCATCCGCAAGGATAACTTGAACCGATTGTCATTTCATAGAGAAGGAAAATATGTATTATGCATCATTTCCACTAATCACGATCAGCAACGCCACAAGGCAAAGAATAGCCTTAGACTACGACACAACAAATCCTATAGATGAAGATTTGATTTAACAGTGTCTGTTGAACTGCGTGGAAGAGTGTGTGAGATGATTGCGTGTATGTTTTAACTCATCACGGCAACATTGCGGGTAAAGCAGAAAACCTGCAATCATGCACAACAAATCCTATAGTTGAAGATTTGATTTTACGGTTTCTGTTTGTGTGAATGAATGTGTGTATATGTAAATATGAGTGTGATTAGCGTGAAGAGAAAGTGAGCTCACACAAAGAATGGATCACAAACACGAATTTAACGTTCATTTTAGCAAAAATAATCATTTATATGTTACAATTATTTCAATTACCACAAGAATTCAACATTAAATGATATGCGACAACGTACGCAAATGAATGGTGACATTAAATTTCTTTTGCAAGCTTCCGCAATGCAAGCATTCCAGCTCAGAAATGTTTTTTACGTTATCCACGATTATTTAATCGTAATTATGGATACAGTACAAATTCTGATACGGTAAATAAATTATCTGAATGAAATGGTCTATATGAGACTCGAATTTTATCGTTAGTCTTTTACTCTACAATCTGAGAATGGTGCACGCAGATATCAACTACGAATCATGCGATTGTCGGAATTTTCCGGACATGCCAGCGGTAAGGAAAGGTGAGACGGTTGTGATTACTAAGCGAATTAATTCAACCTTAAACCCAAAGAGTCCAAAACGCGTGAAATTCCACAATCAATTAAAATTCATACAAGAAGAGAAAGGAATACACAGAATTCGTAAGTAGTTGCGAATCACAAAAAGAAAATTCTCAGCTTGAGAGAAACTTACGAACTTGAGTTGAATTTTGTTGCCGTTGAAACAATATGAATAAATATCTAAATGCGAGAAAATCAATTATTTAAAGAATGACATTTCATGTGTTTGTGACCAGGGATTGTACCTCACACTTGTCCTGAGAGGCAACCTCAGGTCAAGATAATTGACAAAATGTGAATGTTGCCATTATGTTAAATTTTTCACAGTTAGTACTTTCCACCAGCAAAACCAATGTGGGAACGGTTTGCTTAACACATGTATGGGAGAAGAAGAAAGGAAAAAGGAAAGATTGGCCCATAGCGTGTACTCACGTGGTGTTGTAGCCCTGTTCTTCATATCGCGATGGATTTGATACACGAGCGGTGTTCGTTTCTTCGGAGCTGCGCTCGGTTTCAAGCCAAAGGGATGAAACTACCACCGCTTGCCACCAGACTATAAAAGGTATTAATAGGCCTTTCTATATAGTGTGTAGTTGAATTACGGGTGGTAGCTAGTGATACACTGATTAGCTTCAGTCTTTATTGAAGAGAACACACGATACGAGAGACTACGATATGCCGGCGCTCCGTGCTGAGTGTAAGAGAGTGGCAGCCCCACGCCCTGCTCGGGCGGGTGACCTGGAGTGACCAGCCTGGTCAAGGACTGGCTTGTCGAGGTGTGAGGGAGAATGAGAATGAGATCCTTGGGTCAACTTGATGACCTTATATATCCCTTGGCTCGCAGCGTGGCTTCTATTCTCAGAGAGTGTGGCTTGGGGGGGCAGACACCGTGGGCACACACGTGGTCTAGATATGAACACACGTGGGGACCAATGGTACCTATGCAGTATGCTATGCTATGCAGTATCCTATACCTATAGTTAGTGTGTGTGTGTGTGTGTGTGTGTGTGTGTGTGTGTGGTGTGTGTGTGTGTGTGTGTGGTGTGTGTGTGTGTGTGTGTGTGTGTGTGTGTGGTGAGTGTGTGTGCATGCGTGTATATCAGATTGAAACTTCAGTGTTGAAAAAAGAGAAAGAATAAGAGAGAGAGAGAAGAAAAAGAGAAAGGCGAGACAGAGAGAGAAAGCGAGAGAGAGGAAAGGAGAGAGAGAGAGAGAGAGAAAGAGAGAGAGAGAGAGAGAGAGAGAGAGAGAGAGAGAGAGAGAGAGAGAGAAGAGAGAGAGAGAGAGAGAGAGAGAGAGAGAGAGAGAGAGAGAGAGAGGCAAATAAGCAAATAACAACACGGCTTCCATCTAATTTGGGAAACTTAATAACTCATCGAAGACTGTCTTGGTCTCTGGTAAGCAGCTTATCATGCATTCAGTTGGCCACATTAACTAATTAATTAATGTATGTGCGTGTGTGTGTGCGTGTGTGTGTGTGTGTGTGTGTGTGTGTGTGTGTGTGTGTGTGTGTGTGTGTGTGTGTGTGGTGTGTGTGTGTGTGTGTGTTTGTGTGTGTGTGTGTGTGTAAAATGACTTGTACAATAAATTCCTTCTGGGAGTATAAACAGAATGTCACATATTTGAACAAAACAACAACCGGCAACTCAACCACACTTAAAACGATTTCAAAATGTCGACATTCTTAATCCACATACTTAATTAAATCCGTAATAATCAAGCCTTC